ACCAAGAATGCTAAAGAATTTTTAGAAGCTTGCCTGGTATTCCAGTGAATCACAAATCAATAGACACATCGAGATAGACGAAATTTACCAACCGATAAGAAGGAAACCTCACACACAAAGGGTCAAAGTTCAAGTCAAAGAAACAATCAGTTCCAATACAAGTAACCTAGAAGTTGTGAAAACACACAAAAACAACTAATCACATTCAAGGTGGTCACCAGGAGAGATGACTTATAAACTAAACTTGTGGAGAAATCTAAAAGCTCACTTCAATTCGAATTGGAGTATGCGCTGAGGATGTCAGTGCATATTAGTTGGATTCTACTGAAGAGGCACCTGACTCACTAAGGCTCTTTTGTAACGAACACGGCAGAAACTGTTATAATTAAGATACTGTCCTGTCCTGTCCAGGTAGGTTTTCTATAAATAGATCTTTTTATTGACCCATCAAGCCGTCGACTAAGCCATATGTCTAGGAAAGATAAACAATTATCTTCCTCTTCTACATATGTAAGTGATATGCTATTCTGAACTTGATTCATTCGATTTCAAATTGAGGTGGCAGAACAACACTTATCACTGATGACTACGATATCATCTACATACCTTCTATAAAGTAGCACATTTTCGATTAAATCCTCCGATAAATTCTCAGTGTACGACATATAACTATCTGCTTTATTTTAGTTTCTACTTGACTAACGCTTTCTACACTACGTGGATGATTATCTATAAAAACCTACAATTCTAATGACGCATCTTTAGAAATATTCCTTTACGTGCTAAGCGAATTTATTATAAAATGGGGGAAGATTTGTAGCTCAGATGGATGATATCGAGTTAGTTGTGCCCTCTGACCCCCTGGTTGTAGATTTAATTGCGAAGCTTACGTCATTCTTCTAGACAACATCTTCCTTTAGCTTAGGCTTTATTATGGAATGAACTTATTTGAATTCCCAATGAACGACATAATTGTATCTCCTGACAACCTCCTTTGTCTTGGCTCGTTGTTTGTTAATTTACGTCTCTATTGATTTTTTTTTATTTACTCACTTGAAATTTGAACTTTCTTGTCACATGTGAGTTACTTTTTATTAACTGGTAACTTTGGTCTATAGTTAATGTGTTTGGTAACCGCTGACTGATTCATTTGAATACCAACCAGGCTTATAGAAGTTGCTTGACTGTACTTTTGGTGTTTCCTTCATTTAAAACTTCTACGTATGGATCTTCGGGCAGGACTTCAAGGCTTCTGCGCAGTTGAGTGGCGTTCAAGATCTGTCAGCGATGGAACTGCTACTTGGAACGCTGCTGGGAGGTCAGGCGAAAGCAGCATATGAAAGTGTGAGCCGAAATACCGACAAATGTTCGACAGGGTCAGGCAAACAGTTTCCAAAGTGAGAGGGACCACATATGGTCACGTCGAGATGGGGTTACGCAGACACAGTCGCGATGGCGAACAATGAGAAGCGCGTGAACGTCAGCGAGCTCCAGAAATGGATACAGCGAGTCAAGCCAAAGATGACGCCCGCACCAAGAAGATCAAGCCGACTTCAGTGGCAAGTCTTTGATCGGGGGACGAGTGTGGTGAGAGCAGCCCGCTAGCCAATTGGTTGACATTAATCTACATCAATGTCTAGGTCACTAATATGGGCCGTGAGAAAATATGAACAAGGCTGTTTCAACAACCAATCACAGCAAACTTAACGTGGGCAAATATGATTCGCAGATAGATGGCTCCACTTTCCGAGGAACTGGAAAACAACCAATCAGAAGGCTGCGTTTGTCTACTTGACTAGGATATAATAATGTATGTGAAATTTATATAAATACGCGTTGATTTTCGTAATAAGACGATCTGTTGTTACATTTGGTTCGTGATTATCTTCATGTATTGATATGAAAGCATATATTTATTTATCATGCCTTTTTACAGCTGATTTGTGTTCTTGGATTTATAGACAAATTCATGATGAAATCCTCCATGCAAATTCCAAATAAACAAAAATGATCTACAGAGACGTAAATCAACAAACAGTCACTCCATGCATTTATTTCCCTTGATGAATTTGAATAAAGCAAGAACAACAGTGTGTGGGGTTTGTGCAGAATAAGAAGATGGTACCATCATTGCTTACTTATTTCGTTGTCTTCTCAACGGCTACTGCTTACAGCTTGAAAATTTTAAATGTTGTCAGCTGACAGAAAGTTTCACAATTAGTGAACAGTGCTCATAAAATTGCGCTTATATAGTTTTTACACCGGCAGTACAATGGTAAAGGAGTTGGTTCCCGTCCATCGGACAACATGCTCTTTCGTACAGTCAAAAGTCGATAGATACCTTTCTCATGTTAACTCCAACTTCGGGAGCAGTAACATTTGAGAGAAGAGAAAGAAGGGCACTTCTCGGATTTTCTGAACATGTGCCGAAAAGTTTACATTTCAAGGGAACAAACTCTTATAGTAGCGCTATTACTAGACATCTGCTCGACACGAATCATGAGGTGGGAATCGAGAAATCCTTTAAAACTATCCATAGACAAAAGAGACCGATTCTCCTCAAGTTTGCCAAAGCAATTTCTATCAAACGCTTGAACCAAACCAGATTTATGTGTTCAGAAAGAAGCAGTTATTAGTCTTTCCTTGCTTTGGTAACTGGATGTCTTTATTCTCTCATTTGATTATGTAATCTTTGTCTTTAACCTCACCCTCCTTTTATAATCTGTAATTTTGCTTGTCTCTTGTTTCTATGATTTCAGTTGTACTCAACATATTGTTACCTAATTTATTAGTCACTCTGCATCTAACGCATATTTCGTCTTTATTACGTGGCTACTTTTATTTATTTTTGATTTACAGCTTGACTCCACACCGTATGTTTTCGTACAGGTATGGAATTTTCAGCATGGAGATCGTTAGCCCAAATTTTGCAGGCCGACTATAGATATCAGGTGTGCGTCGGTGCGGGCTCGAACCCCAGACCATGTGCATGGTCGGCGAGATTCCTAACCACTGTACCACCAACGCACATTGTATGCATACATTTATTTTTGTTTTAACTTGAACTGCCTGTGTACAAACTATATAAGCGTAATTTTCTGAGCACTGTTCACTAATTGTGGAACTTTCTGTCAACTGACAACATTTAAAATTTTTAAGCTGTAAGCAGTAGCCGATGAGAAGCCGACGAAGTAAGCAATGATGGTACCATCTGCTTATTCTGCACAAACTGCCACTGTTGTCATTGCTTCATTCAAACAGTCACTACAAATGAGGTTGGCAAGAGATACAATTATATCATTCTTGGAGAATTCGGCAAAGTTTATTCCATACTAAAACCTGCCCTGAAGATGTTGTCTAGAAGGCCAACGTAAGCTTCGCTGAATTCTTTTTATATAAACCATTCCAGCCTGAAAGTCAAACAGAAGCTTCAATGATTGATACCGTTTTGAAATAATAGAGAAGATTTGTAGCTCAGATAGATGATTTGCAATCAACAGTGTTCTCTGAGCTGATTGGTTTAGTTGCGGAGCTTTCGTCACCCTTCCGGACAACATCTTTAGAGCAATATTTAACATAAAGTGAAGTGATTTAAATTTTTCATGAGTGCTATAATTGCGTCTCCCGGTAACTATCTTTACATCATTAATTGGTATATTTCGTCTACATTAACGTGTTTGTTAATTGCATATTCGTTTGAGAACCAAGCTTCTAGGAATTCCCTGACTGCACTTTTGGTTTTTCCTCTCTCCAAGATTTCGACATTATCCCCACCAAACTGATGTCCATAATTGTCTATATGCATTGATACTAAAGAATATATATCGTGTCTTTTCACGGCTGATTTGTGATCCTAAATTCTGACTCGAAGGGGACGCCCACTTTGGCCGATGTAATGCCTGTTACAATTCATACAATTTTATCTCCTTTTTCTGTTGGATCTTTCGGTTCGCATAATATCGAATTAAGCGATTTGACTGGCTGGCTTGTGTGCTGTATCTATATCAAACGGTTTCATTATTCTAGCTATTATTTCAGAGATATTTCTCATGTATGGTAGGATGAATTTCCTTTTGGTCTTTGATGATGGTTCTTTGTTGGTGTTTTGATTCGACTTTTAACGCTTTTTGATGAAATTTTGTGGATAACCATTCTTTTTGAAGACCGTTTGTAGGTATTTTCTTCCATTCTTTTCAACTCTGGAGTGCTACAATGTGTTTGAATTCTCTTAAACAATGTCTGCACACAGTTTATTTTGTGAGTTATTGGATTATTGCTAGTATAGTTGAGTATTCGATCGGTGTGTGTGCGTTGATTTTCTATATACTTGTGTTTCTAAATTTCCTGTGTTGGTTCTCCGGATTAAGACATTTAAAAGTGGGATTTTGTTATCTAATTCTTCTAAAAATGCAGTCAGGGAATTCCTAGAAGCCTGGTACTCAAACGAATATACCAACTAATAAAAAGTAAATCAGGTGACCAGAAAGTTTAAAATCCAAGTCAATAGAAAATGGTCAATACTACATATGTAAAGATGGTTACCGGGAGACGCAATTCTATCACTCATGGAAAATATTTAAATCATTTCACTTTGTGCTAAATATTGCGCTTAAAGAGGATGTTGTCTAGCAGGGGAACGACGAAAGCTCTGCCGCACCTAAACCAACTAGCTCAGAGAACACTATCAATTGCAGATTGATGCCGTTTCTTCAACAGGGTGTAATAATCCTTATGATACCCAGTAGCGGCATTGTTGCCTTAAACAGCGTGCAGTTGTCAGCCTCACGTCTAACCCCCCCTTTTTTTACAAGGCCTACCATATGCTAGTAAGCTCAGCAGGGTTTAGAAGTACATCAACCAGAAATCGAACATGGACCATGTAGGCGTTTAGTGAGCATTCAACCAATGAACTGTCAACGTGGAATGAACGGTCACAGTGCAAACGGAAATTAGGCGACATGTGCGAATCAAATAAAAACAATCTTAGCATACAAACTTACATCTAAACTACGCTGTTGAACTAAACGATATGAAATTCTTTCTGCAGCTGTACGATCGACAACAGACAATCGAGATTCATGCCTTTCTTCCATATTGGCATCTTCATCCAACTCTCCAGGTCGACAAACACCATGTTCATCACGAATTAAAGCACGCTTTTTGTGACTGTTAATATTGCTGTTACTATTATTATTATTATTATTATTGGTAAAACTTTCAGATTTATCAAGATCTCTACGTTCTCTACCACCACAACTACGATCAATGTCAGCAAGACAACCGTCACCACCTCCACCGTCAGTGTCATTTTTGTCAAGTGATTGTTTAGCTTGACATTTCGTATCCAAACTGCTACTTCTTTGTACTACGTAGAACAAAAAAGGAGAAACAATAACAACAATGGAAATTAGGAAAACAGTAACAAAGGAATGTTACGTAATCAGAAATAATATTTGTAACTTTTAGGTTATTTTATCATTTCGTCAACTGGTGCATAATACCTTGAAGTTTGAAACGATGAAGGTGCAGGGTTCGAGTCTCATTGTGAGAACTGTATCACTCCCTAGGAATACCAACATAACTGGTTGAAGAATCCCAATTAGGACGAAAATCGTATTCACTGGGTTCCACTGCTAATCAATACCAACCAATATTAAATCTGAGGATACTTTCCAGATCATAGTAACAAGTGGTTATATACAGATTCACCGTATCGATTGACTGTTTCACCCTCTATCCAGGGAAATGTAACTATAAGGTACTATATGACTCCGGAGTACGCATATTGGTTACAGGATTTCATCATGAGCTGACATTGGTTAGAGAACCATTGGAAGACCAGCTGGGAGTTTTGAATTGCCAGAAGTTAGGATTCATGGACTGACCATTGGATCAGGTCCCAGTGGCTGCTTAATGGTCTACGAGTTAGCTCTCCTTGTAACTAGAATGTCCTGGGTTCGAACCCTACTGTAAAGTGGGTGCGTACTGGTGAAGAGTCCCAAACTAGGCTGAGGAAACAGCTGTACAATGTTCCAATGGTTCTCCTGGAATCAGATGGTTTTTTTAATATCACTTCATTCAACGATTTTCCTCTTAAATATAGTGTCAGTGGTGAATATGCCATCCGAGATGGACAGTGAAAGCTCAAAGGACACAAAAACCCTAGAAGCACCCATTTACCAAAGTTATGAATCTTCTCCACTACAATCATAAAGTGCCTCCAAAAGCCTCAGGATGGTCGGGGGTGGGTGCCTTGCGCTGCGGGTTGGCCATCCCTCCGTACACCTCTTGAAATGCTCCCATATGACCGAGCGTCTTACATAGCCTCTCCTGAGGAAGTCCTACTCACTGCCTTCACGTGGCGGAGGTGTTTTTCACCGAAGTGAGAGGGCAAAAGCGGATGCCCGGCGCTCTTCACCGGGTTGACTGTCCATTAAATAACAGTCTAGGAGAGATGGCTAAACCCTGATTCCAAACCTCCAACGACTGGCGTATGAAGCTCACCGGCAGACGTATGGACAAGGGGCTTATTGGATGCCCTGGATGTCTGGCGTATGAACCGGACTCCGGTCACCGGCTGGCTTCCAATGGATAGTGGACTCCCTACTCCACTCCTACTGCCTTGTAGGTCACACTTGGTTGTGTAAAGGCTAGAGCTGCACTCTCAAACAAAAGGCCGAGCGATCCTGGGAACATCACTCGTACCTAATTCCCATGAAACTTCATGAACTGGCTGAAAACATGGCTTGGTACAGTCAAGGCTGATATGGAGTGCCTTGGCTGGGGCTACAAACCGTCTACGGACTCCGTCTGTGGAACAAGAATTGGATAACCCTGTCGCGAAACCTTGCATCAGATCGCCGCGCCTGGGCAGCGATGATTCGAGATGTTCATGAAGCCGGCTCATTCTCCCGTATGAGATAGCCGAAGCAAAGAAGAAGAATCATAAAGTGGGTCAATAATTCAGTGGTTTAATGCTCTCCGATCACACAGCTGGTTTTGGCTTTCATTCCCCAATCGACTCAGTCCTAAACCACGACTAGTTTACTGGCCAAAAATAAGCTCAGGGAAGAAGGAAAGCGTGAGTATTTAGGTTAGCAACTCCAACCCATAGAAATAAATTGATGACTACTTAAACTTCAAGGCTTGAAGCCTGAATCCCTATGTTCTACACGAAACTTAAGGGAGGGAAAAGAAAATTACAATAAAAGTAAATTGACTGCTATTGAAAGGGTGAGGCAATTGAACTCTGACTTAAAAGGTGACTTATAAAGCGCTTGGCAAGATATCAGCGTGAAATCTACAAGACTGTGTGACAGAAAGAAGACATTGTATTGAAAAGAGTAGATTGAAGTGTAATTCTGGATGAATATACTCCTGTGGTATTGTCAATGATTTTGAACCTTTATTCAATTGCTTGTATAACATGAATTAAAATGGCGTTAAGTGTCGAGATTAAAGGATGGAGAACATTTCAGTCAAAGTAGTTATCAACCATTATCGATTGTGCTGGATAATGTAAACGATATGCACACAAAACCATCGTCAGTTTAGGCGATCAGTGTTACCGAAGGTAGGTTTATATGCTTGAAAACAGAAGGGAACTATCAGATTTTGAAACAATTAGTTCCCTTTATGAATTTAGTTAGACAAAGCAATAAGAAGACGTAATTTGTTTGTCTGAATCGCTTGTATTGTGTATTTACGCAACACATTTCGAACAATCTGATCACACAGACAGACTTGTCATAGGAATATATATAGATGAAATTAACAGAGTTGAGAGGTGAGAAAATAGACTAAGGTCAAGTTAAAAGGACATATGGACATATTGAAGGTCAAAACAACACTGAAGATTTGTACGAGTAGGTCACGGATTGATATCAGTTAGAGAACCATTGAAAACCAACACTGGAGTACTGGACAGCTGCTGTTTCATCTTAGCTTTTAAGGAGTCATCGGAAGTACGCACCCACAGCACGGGGTTCCGGTTACAAGGCAAGCTAGCGCGTATACCATTCAGCCACTGGGGCCCAACCCGATTCAATGACCAGTGCATGAATTCTAACTTCTACCAATTCATGATGCATTTAGCGCGACCCCAACCACTGTCATCAGTGAGACATCCATCCACACACGTGACATCTGGATGGACCTCACTGACCACGATTTCTCACTAGAACTGACTTCAAGAAACTCCATCTTGTAACAAGTCACTAGCGAGCATCAGATTAGAGAACAATGAAGATCACTCAACCAAATAACAGAGGTAATAGTACATCTACCCTGGCTAGTATCAAAACAAAACAAAGTTTCCCAAGGAAGGTGGTTTAGTGTGATGACGAATTGTTGCTTTGAATGGATAAAGGTGGTTTAAACGTCCTGATTACCAGCTATGGCTTCCACAAAACTTAGGATACGCCCTACCCTAGACACGTTTTATGGATAGGTTTAAAAGGTGGGTGTAAACGTCAATTTTATGTCATGTCTCTATAATATATCTCGCAATACAGAAGGTAGATCTCCTGTCAGAACAAAATACGTATTCATGAAGTAAATGAACATTAGTCGAAGTCACATATGAAAGTGTAAGCTACCTGTCTACAGTCCACTCGCTGTTAAGGACAAATAGTTAGATACTCTTGGAGTCATCACACCTTATCACCCTCCAGATTCTAAAAATACTCACAAGTCTACATTGGATTATTCCGTGTATTCATAAATTCCACGAAACTGAAATGACACACGTTTTCCTGCTGATCTTATCCCTGAAGAGAGAGCCCAGTTCAACTGCCATAACCTTTTTTTTATTAATGGTAAAACCATATCCTCCTAGGAACCTACTCTTTATATTAACAGCCAAATAAATAGCCATTATAACTTCTTTCAGTATTATCGACACCTAACCGTGGTTCGTAATATGAAGCAGGAAGGCAGCTCAGCTCTTTGGATCACTACAAGATACCTGACCGACCAGCACTATGTAGTTGTGGTCCTTGAGTTTTACATTTGGTAAATAGATGCACTATTGCTGTTGTTCGCTTGTGTTTCAAGTGGGATGAGGGGCTTCGACAGAACGCCTCCACTTTGTTCTATCCTCTGCTGTAATTTCTAGGTGATTTCACGTTCACCAAAAGCCTATGATGTCCTCCTCATTACACGATCTCATATATTTCACCCTTGTGATATCCTGCTATCAACCGAAGGGTGGGTGTACTGTTCATCAGTCCTCTCCGTCCTCCCTTATGGCTGTGCGTGAGACATGGTCATTGAGAGTGGAAGACATGAAAAGGCTAGCTAGCTGTTGTTGATCATAGATGCCTGCGTTCTATCTCACGCATGAAGTGATGGTATAATAGAGTGAGCAATACTGAGGTTAGGCGTTGACTGCTAGGTGAGTTGGAGGGGAAATCAATCGACGAGGTTGTGAAATTACATCGACTAAGATGGTTAGGATATGTGTTCCGCATGCATGCGAGGCCATCGCTTTCCTCGACAATGGGCAATATTAGCTGACATGAGATCAGGCTGGGGAAGAGCTAGCGGCGGTCAAACCAAAACAAGACACCAGTCAATGAAATCTACAACAGTTAGTTTAAGCCACGTAGGAAGGTGTAGATTTCCTGACTAGTTGTAGTCCCCGGGATGGTAAAAACCAATGGCTGTAAACAATTGGTGACATGGCTCGAAATCGTTCTCGATAATGGCGAATATCTATCCACTCCTTGTGACTTATAATACCCAATAAAACTATGTTGTTCTTCGATGTTACTATCCTTTTTGCCTCATTTCCCTGTTTACTCTCTGTATTTTACATTTCTTCTCCTTTCTTCTCTTGCTTTATGTGGTACATGGAGTGTGGCGACTTGTACTGCTGCATATCGGAGCAAAGTTCTATGTCGAAAACAGACAGACAGGCATTTCACCCTCGCATTTCCCATTCGGGTCCCACTAAAGCGACGAGCTGTCAATGGAGTGGTGTCACTCAGCAGTCCCTTCAGCGTTTTCTTAGCCCATTTCCATTTTCTCCGACAAATTTGTTGACCGATAGGTTCTCATCCATTGGTGTTTCCCCATAGTTTCTTATTGCTGATTATCTCTGGCCATGTGATCTTCTACATAAGACCATCGAAGGCTGTTGTTGATAAAGGTTTGTAACCTTTCGAGAATACTTTTCGTGTTACGAACGCCAAGTTTCTGACTCACATAGACGAACTGACTGACTGAATATTTGTGTTAAAAATCTGAACCGTATTCCTTATACTGCTAAGTGTCGAAAATTTCCAAAAACTGATTTTACAATGTTGAAGGTTTGTCTCGCCTTTCCCATCCGTTCCGCCTGTAGTTGAAACGACTCTGCTTGTC